GTTTAATGACAGAATGGCGTTTTTCTCGAGGAGTACAAGAACAGACCAAAGCTTTCCTTGATGGTTTTAATGAAGTTGTTCCCCTTCAGTGGCTACAGTACTTCGATGAAAAGGAATTGGAGGTTAGGTTCTTTCCTTTTGCTATTGTAGGGAATGTTACTGGGAGGTAAACTGTTTTGTGCACAGTGTAAACGTATTTTAAAATCATGTAGCGCAAACAAAACAAAAATGTAACACAAATACAAAACATAATGCATGGAGCACAAGACTGTATCACTTATTTCCTTAAATGTTTAGGTGACATTGCAGAATTGAGGGAGACTGCTGATGTGGGGAAATTCCTGAAATCTCACTTTGGTAATGAGTTGCTTCAAAGACCAGACTTTTAAGAGATGAGTTCTTAGTGGTCTTAACTGTATTTGGGTTTAGATGTCAGGAATTCTTTTTGTTATGTATGATAAAATTCACCATCATAACTATTTTTAAGTGTGTCGTTCAGTAATGTTACATAAAATTACATTATCGTGCATCTAATCTCTAGAACTTTCTCATCTTATAAAACAGAAACTCTACCCATTAAATAAGTCCTGATATTTTCCCAGCCTCCAGCAAAACCACTATCTCACTTGGTATAAATTTGATTATACTTGAAATTCCTTATAAATGAAATTATGCATTACCTATCTTTTTGTTGCTGCTTGTTTTGTCCATACAGTGGCACGTTTCAGAATTTCCTTCCTTTTGAAGACTGAATAATATTCTGTCATACTTACATATAATAAATACATATAATAAAACCTATATTCTAAAAACCTCAGAAACATTAAAGCCAGTGTAAATAAATGGAAATACCATCTTATGTACTGAAAGACTCAGTAATGTTAAAATGTCAGTTCTTTCCAAACTGATTAATATGTTCAACACAGTCAGCAGCCCAACAGAATGTTTTGTAGAAAATAATAAGCTGATTCCAAAATTAGGAAATAGAGAGGCTCTAGAATAGCCAAAACAATTTCTGGAAAAGGACAAATTTGGCTACTTTATATAACCTGACTTCAAGACTGAGCTGTAGAGCTGTAGTAATTAACATAGTGTGATATTTGTTACAGGAAAAACAGATCAGGCCAACACCAGAGAATGCAATAATAGACCCACCCATACAGAGTCAACTGGTTTTTAATGAAAGTGCCCAGATACTGCGTTAGGGAAAGGGAAAATCTTTTCAACAAGTGCTGTTGATGAACTAGATACCCATGTGGCAGAAAATTAACCTTGAATTATACTTCAGCCCATAAACATTAATTTTCATTGAATCATAAACATAAATGTGAAAGCTAAAAAGAAAACTTAGAAAATCTTGATGCATGCAGGTTTTTTTTTTTAATTTAATAAAATAAAAAATGGTTTATTTGGGGGGAAAAGATGGAAAAGAAAGAAGATAGACAGCTACCATGCAGTGGTAGGGGCCTTCAGAGCTAAAAGCCCCCAGAAGTTTTTTAGGGTGAACAAAAAAACCCAGGTAAATTTGACTTCATGGAAACTAAAAACTTCTGTTCTTCAAGAGATAGTGATAAAATGAAAAGACAACCTACACGCAGGAGAAAACTATTGAGACAGTGATATTATATCTGCAGAATATATTTTTTAAATTCATAGATTAGTAAGAAGACAAAGAAAAACTTGTAATGGACAGAGATGCCTTTCATAAAGGAAGATACACAGGCAGGTGCAGTGGTGCACACTTGTAGTCCCAGCTACACCAGAGTCTGAGGCAGGAAAATACTTGAGCCTAGGAGTTCGAGGTCTGGCCTCATAGTGAGGCCCCATCTCAAGACAAAGAACCCGTGTGTTCAGTGTGAATCAGTATAGCAGCATAACAGTGGCTTTTGTTTCTAAAATCACTTTGGTATTCTTAAGTTTTCAGAATATCAGTTACTATAGTGAACAAGATACTCCAGTAATGTTGGATTGGTTAAAAAAAAGCCATGCAGGTGGCAAATGAACGCACAGAATGATGGTCATTAGTCACTGAGGAAAAAAACTAAAACTAAATGAAATGACATTTTGGGATAGTGTTGGAAGTTTCTTAGAATATTAAATATACAACTACTTTATATCCTAGCAGTTCCACCTTTAGGTGACTCAGGTGAAATGAAATATTCACACAAATAACTGTATATCAATAGTCATTGCAACATTATTTATCAAAGCCAAGCACTGAAAGTATCGTAAGTGTATATCAAGTGAATAAACAAATTGTTATATACTCGTATCAGTGCAATACTACCCAGTGATAGGAAAAGTGAGTAGATGGTACCCACAAACAACATACATGAACCTCAGAAACACGTAAGTGAGGAGAGGAACCAGAAAAAAATGTGTGTATGCATGTATGCCATAGACAGAATCATGCATGTGTGACGTTCATGCTGTTCTCAAAACGACAAATGTAATGGTGAAATTCTTGATCACCTAAAGGCATTGATGGTTTTGTCTACAAAAAGGGACATAAAAGTATTAAATACTTTATTCCTAAAATAATTTTTACCCCATGTATGACATAATGGGGCCGTTTGAAAATTTTACATAAGTAGAATATTTTATTCTCAAGTAAGCTGGATAAAGAACAAGAGGTTACTATATTTCATATATATTTCATATATTCAATATGTATATTTCATATATAGAGGTTACTATATTTCATATATATTTCATATATTCAATATGTATATTTCATATATATCCTTTCATATATATTTCATATATACACATATATATATCCATCCCAAAAAGCAGCAGAAATTTGTGTAAAAGTTTATGTATCTAATTCAGAATATGGATATATAATAAAGTAGATACACTTTTCAGTAGATTTCATGATGAATACTGATTTCAGTTTGTGTTCATGAACATGGTAAAATAAAATACCAAAGAAGCTTTTATGCTATGTTTCCACAAATTTTGTTGGATTTGCTTACCGTGATCATTATTTGCCACAAACATAGCTGCACACATAATTACTCCATCTAACTAACTGTGCCCCAGAAAATTTCAGTCATATAATTATTCTGTTCACCAAATCTTTAGTGTGGCCTAATAACTGTGCTCATTTCCCAGGTTATGCTGTGTGGCATGCAGGAGGTTGACTTAGCAGATTGGCAAAGAAATACCGTTTATCGACATTATACAAGAAACAGCAAACAAATAATTTGGTTTTGGCAGGTACTTGCTTTATCTTTTTGAAACATAATATTAAAAAAAAATATTTTCTAATGAAATGTGCTTTGAAAAGTTTTTTTTTTTTCCCCTTAAATGAAGATGTTTTTGGACGTGGCTTTTAATCTTCCATTGCTAAATAGGAAATGAGTAGTATGAACACTTGTTAAAGGTATTTTCCTTTGTATCTTTGTCTTTCTAAATGAACGAATGAGTGACAGTCTTATGTAAGCATTAACTTAATGGTAATAGTTGTAGGGACAGATTTTTAATTTAGCAGTATCCAAAATATTTCAGCTGGGCATACTGGAGCATACCTGTAATCTCAGCATTCAGGAAGGCTGAGGCAGGAGGAGTGCAAGTTTGAGCCCCACCTGGACAATTTAATGAGACCCTGTCCCAAAAATTAAAAAATAAAATAATCAAAAGGGGGTAGGGGTATAGGTTAGTGTGAAGACCCCCAGGCTTAATCCCCAATACTGATTAAAAACAAAAACCTGTAGTCCTGGAATATTTTTCATTTCTTCACATAAATACTCTGAGACTCATCTGAACAACTTAATGATTGGATTTTTAGTTTACTTCTGCTTACCTGTTTTTCTTTGATATGAAAAACTAGAGTTTTATATTACTACAGTGATACTTTGGTTGTCAAATGGCTCCAAGCTTGAACTTTCCACTACTTGAACCAGCAAAGTTTGGAAAAAATCTGCCTGGTTTTCATAACTTTGCTTGATAGTCGAACCAAAAATCTGACTTGAAAACACCTGTATGGGCTGACAGTGTGTCATGTTTTGTGGCTTGCCGAGGACAGAAGGAGTGACGCTTGAATCTAAGCACCACTCTCGCCCAGACAACATATAGAGCTTGTGCTAGTGTGTTAAAAGATTCATCACTGTGCTTTTTATTTTTGTGCTTTATTTGCATAAAATATTGTAACCACGGCTCTGAAGAAATTAGTGATATCAGCAGTAAAGCTAAGAGGAAAACCGAGAAGCACATAAGAGTTAAAGAAAGAAATCATTCAAAATTTGTTAAAGTCCTGGAAAAATGAATTTATAAGTGTAATTTTGAGGCCTCGGAATTAGTTACTTGGTTTTCCATTATTTCTTACGGGAAAAATATGTTCAGTTCTCGAACTTTGTGAAATTTAGAATGAATTGAGTTTGACAGCCAAGGTATGACTATATACAAATATTTTCAAAAGCTACATCTTTTCATAAGGATACTGTCATTAGTTTATTGCATAATATTTTAAAGAAGTTTGGACAAGTCTAGAAATCTATCTTAAAATACACTGTACTTCAAAACATGTAAAATGACACATACCAAGAAAACAATGTAACGTTATTGGTATACGGAGAGAAACCTGAAACAATCTAAATGCCCACCAGGACAGGACTACTATAAAATGCTTTATAATGAAAGTGTATACTTACCTGTGAATGTACCACTTCTGAAAAAGCAAGGAAGAAAACTTGGCAGCAGTTCCACGAAGGGGCTGAGCAGTTGGAGGCGAAGCTAGGAAAGCTGCTTCTCACATCATGTACCCTTGTACTACTTTTTAAATTTGGGCTGGGGGAAGTAAATCTATTTTTCAAGCCTAAAATACCCTGGAAAAATGTTCAGTGAGAAAAAATACGAACTGTGGAGACTGGCCACAGGGCAATCTTCACTGACTCAAGGAAACATAACAGTGCTTTAGGCATCAGCCACATCTGAGTTCATACTTTCTGCCACTTAATGGCAGCTTGAAAAGGACATACTGGGTTGTTCAAACTACAGAACGGTGGTGTTTCACTTCATAAACGCTTTTGTTTATAAACAATTTGGTTCACAAAAAAAGCATTTGGCAAACTCGGCTTTGGGTGACAAACACAATCTCAGCCATCTTTCTCCAGCAAACACAATATGGCATCTTTTCCAAAATTGTGGAACAAATTGTTTGTGAACAGAGGTACCACTGTATATAGGCTTCTGTTTTCTTGCATGTGCAGGGGCAACACTAACGATCAGGCCTATCTCACAGAATTGTGAGATCTAAATGAAGGAGAAGCAAATGGCACAGAGCTTTTCAGAAGCCCTAAGTAGGAGATAGCTATTATAAATGACTTCTATCCTGTTTGCTAGTCCAGAGCTATGACCTTAGACAAACGACTTGACCTTTGTAAGCCTGTCATTTATTCCCTCTTGATAAGATGGAGGTAATAAAAACAGTGGCCCGTCTGAGTGTTACTGTGAGGATTAACTGAAGTAAGAGATACAGTGTACTTAGCATAGTACCTGTCCTGAAGATAAATGCTATTTGTCACACATTATGAATCAATTTCAGTGTTAAATATTATTCTGCTCAACTGTTTTCATTATAAATGAGAACTTAGCATTTATTTTATATTAAAGTACGTTTGGTTTTATTACACAGTTTGTGAAAGAGACAGACAATGAGGTGAGAATGCGACTATTGCAGTTTGTCACTGGAACCTGCCGCTTACCTCTTGGAGGATTTGCTGAGCTCATGGGTAAATGCAGTCTCACTGCGGTTTCTCCGTACATAGTTTTGTGATAATGACCTGTAGACATACAGTAGACCTGACCTTGAGGATTATTATTCTGGGCTCTATGTAAAGCTTCTACTGTACGAAACAGTAATGGTTAATATGAAAGAATGTGTGAGGCAAAAATGAGTCTCTTCATATAGCCTAGAGGGCCAGAGCTTTATCCCCAGTGACTGGAAAGAAAGCAAGGTGTTGTAGTACAGTACTGTAGTTTTCTTTCCGTGAATGTCATTCTTAACTACCGAATTTCTACAGCACTAAGCAGCTACTCTGTTGTGAAGTTCTTTATTTTGTATCATCCATATTTTTTTATGACACTTTCTGTTACTTATCTATCAAAGCTAAAAAGTTTAAAGGACCTAATAAAGATTATCTTATTTTCCTGGTTTAGGAAGTAACGGGCCTCAAAAATTTTGTATTGAAAAAGTTGGCAAAGACACGTGGTTACCAAGAAGCCATACATGGTAAGTTTAAAGATCCTAAGTAGGAAAGTAAGCACTAGAGAGAATCTCTGGTTTTTAAAAAATATGTAAGATTTAGTATTAACTGCTTATTCATTAAGGTAGTGAGAATTTAAATTTTGAGAACAGATGAATCAATTAACATAGTAGTCTATAAACAGTTTAGGATGAATCCTTATTAATAGAAACATGTATGACTTATATCCATTGATTCAGTAAAGATTTAGAATACTCACTGTGTATAAAAAAGGACCAAATTCCTCCTTGCCATTTGTGAACTTTGCATTTAGTGGTAAGGGACCTAGACAAACAGGTAGACAAACAAGTAACTGGAAAGAGAGTGCTGTACTGGAGAACAACTGGAGGACCGGGTGTCAGGAAGATTTCCTGGAACAGGTTATGTTTGAGTTTAATAAATAGTTTGTGGGAAGAACACTTGTTGAGCAGAATTGCTGAAATAAGCAAAAATGCTGAAGAAATCATTTCTCAAGGAAATGAAAGATGATAGGCATCCTTGTGAATCTGGGGGAGATGAACTTGGAAATGTAGGTAGGGACTAAGTTAATGTAGAACTTTACTGCCTATTACAAATAATTGGGATTTTATTTTAAGGAGAATTAGAACCCTTTAAACAATTTTAAGTGGAAAGCAATGGGATCCAAGAAAATCATTCTGGCAACAGTGCAGAGAGAACTGGGTAAATCCAAATTAGTTACAGAAATGTTATGTTACCCAGATAGGAGGTGATAACTTAGAGATACGTGGTTCTTTCAGAAGGTCAAACTATTTTTATCCTAGGCCATTATTTGTTTTTTTTTTTTGGTTTTTCTCCGGTACCGGGAACCGAACTCACGACCTTGCGCTTGCCAGGCAGGCGCTTTGCCGCTGAGCTAAATCCCCAGCCCCCCTAGGCCATTATTTGGCTTTTTATTATTTACACATTTTGGCCTTTTATTACTTCCACATTTGTATTTATGGTGCAGAAGCAACAGTGGGTAAAATTTCATACTGCCTTTGCAGAAACAAGGCCAGTGCCGCCAAGCTGCTGTGATATACTTGCAGCTTAAAGCAAAACAACAAAACAGGTTCACTGAAGATTGTTCTTTATGAAGCACTAAAAATTGTTTATGAAATCTTCCTACTTGGCAATACATCTTTCTAACATTAACTTGAAAGAATAACGAATTGTTCACTTGAGTATTTGGCATTTTCTTGTAATGAAGTAAGCCTGTCACTTCAAGGAAAACAATTAAAATTTGTTGACAAGGATAAAAGTTAAGGTTTCAAGCAAAAATGATAATTTTGGAAAATTTTTATGTGCCACCCTGAGCTTGACCATTTCCCAAGACTTTACTGGTAAAATTAGTGATGTTATTCATGTGTGATTTTTTTCTTGATTATATAACTGTGTATATCAACATTTAGAAATGTAACTTGGTGAACCAGTGTTTTCAGTGATAAATGACTGATGTTATAAAACCATGCATGGACAAAAGATATACTCGGGGCACAAAAGAGATCAGTGGATTTATAAAAAGGGCAAAATGTTCTTTGATGATTTCTGAACCTATATTGTATATAACTTAGTGAAATTTAATATAGTGTCAAACAATTATGTCCAGTTTATAAAATAACTAGAGTACATCTGCATTTTCTAACTGCTTATTTGGGAGATACGATTTTTGTATCTAAAACAGTACAGTACAACACTATACAGAATGTCTTGTTAAGCCAGGTGTTTATAAGAACTGGCCTAAAGTAGCAGGCCCAAAGGAGAGGAAGAGATTATTGAGCTGGGAAGAGGATTAAAGATTATAGATTTTGTAAAGGGAAAATAGTTACCAACTGTTAGTTTCTCACAATAGAAGGTGAGATCGCTGGCTAGTCGTGAAGGAAAAACCTAAAAAAGAAATTGAGAGGCTTTTCAGGGAATAGACAATTTTATTTATCAGAGAAAACCAGCTGAATGCTGGACAGTTCTGGATTGCTTACTTAGACTTATTAAAATGACAACAATGTACCTGCCTGATTTTCCCTCCAGGAATTTTCAGATGTTAAGGTACAAAGAATAAAAAACAGGTACATTCATGTAAGATTTGAGCTTTCTTTAGATAATTCAAAAGAGAGAAACACAGGTTATAAAACCATTTGCAAAGTAGTGATTATAATGATAGACTATGATCTTGAAAGTAATTACAATGATAGTCTGTGGATGAAGAAAAAAGTAAGGACAGGAAAAAGCTGAGGGGCTGGCTGTATAGGATGGTAAAAGAGACATAGGTTGATTGCCCAGCATTTTCACTGAAGTAATCTGAAAGACAGATGGTCAGAGAACAAAATTTTTAAATTAGAAATTTACTTTATTGGCGGTGGCAAGGTTCTGGTTATGACCCTAGGGAACGAGGTGGCCCTAGGATTGGATGTTACTTGTATAAAGAGAGGACTATGAACTAGTGAAGAAAAGCTTGAATGAGGTCAGCAGATGATTGAAAAGTGCAGAAAAGCTGGGTAACTGGTCAGTGTGTTCCTCAGGAGAGTTTTATTGCTTGGCTGTGACATTGCAGGCTAGCTGGGTTTTATTTATGGCACAAGTTTTTGAGACTTTAGGAGACTGAATCATGAAACAGAAATTCACAAAAGAGAATTGTGAGGAGGAGGCAAAGGTTGGGATATTTAATACACACCAAAGGAAATATATATCGGTGTTGGGATGAGCATTTGGGTGAAAATAGGTGATCCAGAAAGACTTGGATTTTTAAGTGTCTAAGGTAACAGTGACGTAATCTGCGGCGAAATTAGCCTTGATAATTGTCAGGATGTGAGGGTAGAGTTCTCCTGCCAGCTGCTGTGCTGTACTTAGGGAGGCAGCAGCTTGAAGCTTTCCTCAAGCTGTATATGGTTGGCAAGCTAATAGCATCTTATTCCCTTAGACTATATGTAAAATAGTCTCTTCCCTGTTTATAGATAAGAAAGTAAAAGTAGCAAAGTTGATTTTATATATTTTACAAAGACATCAGACTCAAAGCCAGAAGTAAAACTTTAAAAAAGTATTTTGATATTCACATAGTAAATACTCAATAAAAAACGTAAGTGGATTTTGTTGTATCTCTGCCTTTCATAAAACTGAACAAAACATAATGGTTACTGTGTTAGAGATCCATCTTTTGTATTTTCAAGTAATCCACTTAATGTTTTTCCGCTCAACCCTGCTAAATATTTACTACATGTAGAACATATCAGTGTTAGTAAGACTGGATTAATAAGCTTTTGTGGATTTTAGAGTTTAATAGCTCTTATGGATTTTTAGAATTTAATAGGAGAAACCAGTCAGTTACAAAGTAAATGCTAAAATAAAAATAAAAAGGCCTTTGGAGAGAACTATTATCTACTTAAAATGCTCAAGATGAACTTTTTGGAGGAATTTGTAGCTGGGCTGATTCTTGAGTACCTAAACTTTCAGAGGCTGAAAAAGGATATTCCTGGCCACAAAGAGCCATTATTAGAGCATGGTCACTTAAAAAAAGAAATATGTGAGCACACAGTAGTTTGGCAAGGGCTATAGGGCACTACTTAAGAGCTTCCTTCCGTCACCCCATACCCCCATAGGCCTAGCAATTTGAAGCAGCAAAGGCTTTTGAAGAGTGGCAGAAACTAGTATATTCTTTTAGCCAAGTAACTCTGCCAGTGATACAAGGCTAGAAAGAATGTGGAAAAGCAAATTGAATAAATAAATATGGTTGATCCAAGGTAATGAGGCAGCAAATTTTCTAATGGCCCACATAAGAGATAATGAGAAAGTAGGCAATACTATAAAAAAAAAGTACTATCCTCCTTTAGTAAACTGAAAACAGTAATTTTTATGAATTTTCAGTATTTTGTTTTTCATTATTTAGTCACAGAAAGATTGAAAAAGTATCATTTTAGAAGCGATTAGAATCTCAGGATGAGGTTGAGCAGATGAAGAAATGCATGTATTAGTTTGTTGGCTATTTCCACTCCAGAACTTAACTTCCATGAGGAAAGAGACTTTGGTTTTTCATCACTTTCACCCTGGAAACCCTATCTTGCGTATAAAAGTTCTCAGTAAATAGTGAGTGGAAAAAAGGGAGTCTTACAAGAAGATAGGACTCATGATGTGAGTCAGGAATAATAATAATAAAACAATTAATGACTTTCTAAAATTCTAGAATCTGTATTCATATTGATACAGTTATTTATAACTGCATTTTGTCTAGGGAAATTTAAAATATTTTTTCATATAGGTCTTAAACTTTAGATTCCTTTTAAGAAATTTGGATGCATTAATATACTAATCAAGTAATACTATAATAAATTTTTATATATCTAGCCATTCAGCTTTTAAATATGCTTTAAAGAATACTGTATTAGAAATCTTTCAGATTATTTTATTGAAAATATCTGATTTTGTTTTTGCTTTTGTTCAGTTTTAATCGCTTGGATCTACCACCCTATAAGAGTTACGAACAACTAAAGGAAAAACTTCTTTTTGCAATAGAAGAGACAGAGGGATTTGGACAAGAATGAATGTGGCTTCTTGTCTTCGAGGAGCGCTTGAATTTAAATACCCCAGCCAAGAAAAATTGCGCATAGTGTATATAAGCTGTTCATTCTGTACAGTGAATTGTCTTAACCTCTCAAAGCATAAACGTTTTCCGTTCTTCCACAGAATATGCAAAATAGTTCATCGTTTTCTACTTTATTTATTGCTCCCTTGAAATGACCAGGAAAAAGATCAACCTTAAATTTTGAAGCAAGAGACTTTATTAAAAATAAGTATATATCTATAAAAGCATATATGATAGTGGCTCTAGTTTTATAGAGCTTCAGGTGTATTAAACACGACAGCTGTTCATTCACACAGATCTGAATTTGCTTTACCTTGTTTCTATGATCCAGGGGAAATGTGCAAATTGCTCCATGTTCTTCTCCCTTATGTAACATCTCCAGAGGGTGTTTAGTTGCATGGCTATTGAGGAAGGTATTAAGGGCTTAGGCCAAATCTTGAGTGTGTTAAAAAATGCTGCTGGCTTTTCTGAAGACAGGTACTTGAACCTGTCAGTTTGTTTTAAATAAATACAATAGTGCAAAATTTCCTTCTTTGCTATATCAGTAATACAGTAAAAATAATGAGTGAAACTGTAACTTACATGGAAGTCATTGCTAGATTTAATAAAATTTAGTTTGTTATGGAGGTTGGAAAGAATTCATTGAACAGCGTAGAGATTTGTTTACATGTTACTTTGGGATGATAGTTACTTGTGAAATTAAAAAGAAGTGGCTATTCTGTTGTTAAAATGTGATTCTTTAAATTTAATTCACAATAAATTGATACAGTTTGATACTTAGGAACATACAAAAGGTAATGCAAAGTTTGCCACTTTTGTTCATGTTCAAAGTTTTGGTTTTATAAAACGAAATAGAGTAAATAAAACCAGATGGATTCAAAAGGGTTACATAAACATTTGAACACTTAAATAGGAGACTAACGATTTTCTATTCATGTTTGAGTATCTTCAGTATAAATTCATGAAAATTCTGTGTATCTGAATAAGCATAACCCTTTCTTTTACATAGATCAATTTATTTTTATCCTAATACTTTGTATTTCATTATAAGGGCATTTGTTGAACTACAAAGATGTATATAACAAATCAAAATTTGATGTGAATGATGTTAATGCTGCTTTTAGCAAACTGGGCTTCCTAATACAGAAATTATAAATTTCCAGTTTTAATCATGCTTTCAAATATGCACTGTAAATTTCATTAACTTAAAATTTTTTATAACTGTGGAACTGACTTTTTAGAATGTGTTACTTGTAAATATTCCACCGCTAAGTGCACATGGAAAATACTAGTATACAATTTAACTTCCATAAACACTTGTTTTTGTTTTGCCAAAATTTTATTTTTCTACATACTGGACTATGTTCTGAATTTTTACTTACAACCCATAGCAAATATGAAATAAAGGCAGTGACACAGATAGTTGATGAGACTCCTTTCCCAAATCTTAACTATAAGCATTCTGGTTATTTTCGAGCCTAAAGAATTTTTTTTTCATGTGTATGTTAGGTTATGCAGTAGAGGCTGACCACTGTTCAGGAAGAACAGTGTCTTACAAATTCTGTTATGACAGAAGTTACTGAATGTCGTTCAGTGGAAGTGCGAGAGAATGTAAATTAGATCAAGCTGAGAGGGATGGCTTTCAGGTAGAGTTTCAGGGTGCTAGTCCCTCTAGTAAGAAATTACCATGTGCCAGACAAGGCTTCAGAGAACCCACAAGAAACCAAACCAGCTTACCAAGGAAGACTTAATTTGGAGACCTCATCAGGATCGTCCATATTTCATACCTTACTGTAGATACTAGAACTGCAAAGCTATCTTGAATTATCTCATTGGCAGGTAGAACAGCTAGAGAAATGTGACCCACCACTCTTTCCTTCCTGCTCCTTATAGCTGGAACAGCCAGAAAGAAAACAGAAGTACAGGGCTCACTGCGCCTGGTTTGCTCATAGCTCATAAGCAAACAGGAGACAAGAGGAAGGTGTGAGACAGGTTCACACTGCTGCTTCCTTTTGGTGACACTCCCCACTACCATTCGTGAAAGGTGGTTACATTTCCATCAGTCACGTCAGTTGTCTGTCTTCCAGAAAAAGAACCTACCACTGATGTTTTTTCTGTACTTCTTAAACAGTTAAAATGTTACCATTTCTCTCTTCTGACCTCACTTACTCCACCTGTGTCATTACTCTGAAAATTACGTAGGGTGTGTAGGCCATACTGCCAGGCAGCTTCACTCCTGTTAAAAATGACCCTGACTGGTAAGTTGCATGTGGACAGAGAAGACTCCAGATATGTAGTAGGAAGCTGTAACTTTGGGTTTTTGCGAGGGTGAAAGCCTGGAGCTGCCTGTCCTTAATGAGGACTTGTCATTGGGGAAATGGTGGTTCATGCAGAGTTGTATGGATGCTGTGCTACACAAAACTGCTGTTAGCGTCATCTTCTGGAGGCCCAGCATTGCTGTGCTGGCCAGTTGTAGTTCTTACTGAACTGCTTTCTGAGTAAACCAGTGCTATGCTAATGCCTGTTGGAGGCCTGCTGAGTTCTGATGTTTGACCTGGGACAACCTGGTGGAAATTGCAGAAGTAAATCTTTTGTTGAAATATGTGTATGGGAAAATAAAAGTTCTCCAACACTCCCTACTTTTCTTAATCTGTTAAATTAGGGGCCACGCCTGAAGTCAAATGGGGATTTAGTCTGTAAGTCCAAAAGTTAACATCTGAATTCCAGAATTTCCCTCTCCATTCTCAACCACAGAGAAGGCAATCTGATGTTTTTAGAAGTACTAATACTTACATCTTTTATATGATGCAAAAACCTCATGAGACTCTTTTTGTTTCAGCAGTGCTTACTTGATAAATGGGAAGAGTCTGAGAGATCATTTTTAAAATGTCTGTAACTAGTTCCATAGTCCATGAGTAAGTCGGTAAATTCTGCCAACAAGAAGTGACCCGGGCATGGTGGTGCATGCCTGTAATCCCAGCACTCAGGAAGCTGAGGCAGGATCACCCAAGAGTCTGAGGCCAGCCTAGGCTACATAGTGAGTAGAAACCTGACCTATAGAGACCCTGTCTCAGTATTCAGGTTTTTACAGGATTATGGCCACTTTCCTTTCACATTCTCAGAGAAGAAAATACACAGCTAGTATGTCAGGCTCTGAGGTGCACACAAGGACAGACTGAGGTGGGGAATGTACAGAAAGGTGCGTGTAAGGGCTCATCCTCAGGAGTGTCTCATGCTAAGTGACACATCAAAAGGAAACCTTACGGAAGAAACTTCTCTTAGGGGAAACAAGGAACACAACCTCTAAAAAGCACCCAGCAACCAACCATATCCCTAAACATAATCTGTGGCCCACTACCCTATTTTTTTCTAAAAAGTGTCCACATAATGAAGTTTTGTTACTTGATAATTATATTAAGATGGTATGTGGGGCCCAAAGCAATTACTCTTCACAAGTTGTGGCTCAGGCAAACCAAAAGGTACATGCTCACCGATCCCAACATTATATAGATAATGTTGATCCATATAACGTGGTCACAGCAGCCTGGCCGCCTCCCATTAGCTGGTATTGAATCCAGAGCCTGGAACATGCTAGATGAGTGCTCTACCACTGAGCTACATGCCCCCTTTTTGCAGTTAACTTGTAATCCATTTGCCTTGGCTGGGATTACAAGGCACATGTCCACACGCAGCAGCAGCTTTATTTTTAATAGCCCCAAACTGGAGAACTAAATGCCATTCAGTGGTTAAATAAACTGGTATATCCATGTCATGAAATACCTGTCAACATTAAAAGAAACTCTTGATAGAACTTAGGTGCATCTAACATGAATTATGTGGAGTGAAAAAAATAGTCTCAAACTACAGCAGGCCATTCAATGGCTGACAGAGGCAGGGATGGTGGGGAGGAGAGGAAAAAGATGGGTGCAACAGTGACCTCTGGATTTTCTGGGTAATGGAAGAGGCCTGTCTTGACTGGTATCAGTTACAGAAATCTATTGTGATAAAACTGCTCAGAACCATACAAGTGAGAACATGTGAAAGTGGTAAAGCTCTAAGGCCTGTGTCTGCTACCACAGCACCCTTTTGGGAAATGTGTGATGCTGTAATTAAAGTTCATTCAAGTATCAGAAAACAGACCTCCTATCCACAGAATGCTGTATCACTGAAGGAACTCATTTTAAATAACTTACCAGGTATTCTGATAAGTGTGTGTGCGTGCTGGAGAGATTGAACCCAGGGATCTGTGTGCTAAGTAGACACTAAACACTGAGTTACAGCCTTAGCCCAAGGTTATTCTTAGAATAACCCAAGCCCCGAGCTTCCCTTATTTAATTACCTGATACTGCTGGAAACAAAACAAATTACACTCCTAGAAAAGTTCAGTCATTCTAAAGAGAAAACTGAACATGAGGAGATGCTAGGGGTACAGCTCTGACAGAGTGCTTACTCAGCAGGTGTAAGGCTTTGTTGGATTCCCCAGCAGTGAGGAAAAAAAAAAGTAAAATTCTCTAATACGCTAAATTAAGTTGCAGACTAAACCTCAACAGAAATTCCAAAACTCAGAACTGGACAAATGTGAAGATGTGAAATGGCTGCTGAAAAAAAAAAAAAAGATCTCAGAAATGAGAATTATAAAAGAATCTACAGGATACATATAACTAAAAGCAAAATGAGGAATATGGAAGACCAATGAAAAGAGGTAGGAAATTGCAACCAAAAAAGTGAGGAATGCAAAAATCAGGTAAAAATGTTGAGATACAAAAAATTAACTGGAGTGTGAAAACAAGATAGAACAATGGTTCTCAAAAGTGTGGTTAATTAGATCAATATGAAACGAGGGACAATAGCTGTGACGAATGGACTGGTCTCCAAAAACTGCTATGAACAGAAAAGATGGGAAAACTCTTCTAGATTAAAAGAAAGTAGGCAGCAAATCAAATGCAATGTATGATCTGTGATTGGTCCTGGTTCAAAAAACTTTAGGACATTTGAGGGATGCAGCTTGACAGCAGATGGTACTAAACAATCAGTAATTTTATAGTTGTGATAATGCTGTATTTTTTTTGAAAGACATCCTCAAGATAGAGGCTATATGGTGAAATACATATGCAATTAAATTTAAAGGTTTAAAAATTATAGATATACACAAAATACAGCAAAAGATCAACAACTGTTGAATCTCGGAGAAGGGTATGCAGACCTTTTTTATGTTTGAAGATTTACATGCTAGAAACAGTATATACTATTGTAACACTGCAATTCTTAAATCCTTCGTTGAAAAAAATGTACCCACACAGCCAAGGATGTAGCACAGTGGTAGAGAACTTGGGTAGTATGCACAACGCCCTGGGTTCAATCCCAAGCACCACAAAATAAAGGAAATGCAGAAAAACTGACCTATACATAGTCTCAAATTTATCTAAGTGGCATTGAAGAGGTTCCTTTTTACAAGGCTTAAGATTTTACAGTGGTTGTACCCCAGCCACAGTGCTACAAGCAGCACTGACCTTATTTTAATTGTCTCAGTTTCCCTTTCACCCTTAAATTCTGTTCATCTCAGGATGAAATACATTTTGGACTGTTTGGTGACAAACTGAGCACACCTGTGAGCCTACATCACATTGAAAAGGAAGCCACTCCACTTCCAGCCCTCTCCTGATTTGAGTTCTCTCCTTGTGCAGGCTGGCTCCAAGACATGTCACCCAGTACTGTGCTTCAACCCACAGCCCCTCCATATCCTCATCGCCTAACTTTCACCGCACCATCTCTGCAAGATCTCAACTTTGTATCACATCTGGCTTGCAAATCCACTCTTACAAGCACTGTTTCCTCTTCCCTACAGTTCTCATTTCTTGATATCCTCTCATCCTGATCTGATCAGTACTTAGAAATTTTATTCCATTTTGTATTAGTGTCCCAGATGCAAAATAATCTTTCTGCCTGAGCCATGGGAATTTTTATAGGTACCACCCTTAAGACAATATGGCAGTTATTTCTCTTACCACCTTCTTTGTGAAGAAGCCAAGAATTTTGAATAGTTAGTCAATTTAATGTTCACAACATTAAAAGAACTGAGAAAAAAGCCACAAAACAATCTGGTTAATTATTATATATATTTCAATTAAAAAGCAATTTGTTGCGTATTTTCTTTTATTTTCTTCTCTGAAAGTTTTCAGTTCTCATCACAAACTTGTAAGCAACTGAGCAGCTTCTGTCTGTATCTAAAATAGAAAAACACTTATGAATAAACAGTATGGGTTAGGGATTAATTTGTGAGATGGATTATAGTTTATATTTGCAAAAACTAAGACAGGAGAATAAAACTGTAAGAAATTTTTTGGATGGGACTCAGAACTCTTCAACTTTAGTATACAAGCCTTGACTTTTATGTTTTAGAACTCTTAGTGATCTGCTATATATGTCAAACAGGAATTCTGTATTGTAGCAAGCATCTTTTTATGCGGTTATAATAACTAAATATTTGCTATACAGAAATAAATTAAATATAGTCATATTTGAAATGAACATGATTGTGTTTCCAGCAATACTTTCATTTAGACAATTACACATTTACACGTTCTTAATTTACCTTTACCAGTACCTCAATGAAAACCTGTCTGCCTTACTGTATTGGAGATGTTTTACCTGTTTATCTTCTTCTGTGTGTGCTGGATAGTCCTTGGCTTTCATTAGCCATAAAATAGCAAGCTTCTTATTGTTTAGCTTCAAGTATGTCTTTCCTAAAAGAAGCAAGTTTTTGCTGTAGAAGTTTGGATCCACTGTACATAAAAAGGAAAAACAAATTTAGCTGAAGAGAAACAGTATCGCTTATATTTTTGTAAGTTTATTTAAATTGTAATAATAAAATTCTATGGTTAATAAGTGAGTAGGCTTACTAGAATTCTGTTCAACTGTTCCTACCTAAAATATCTAAAATAATTCACACAGAATGTCTCATCCATGTTAGGCACTGTATTTCACACAGTTCTCATTTTACAACAATCTGATAAAGTAGGTATCTCCACTGAGAAGTTAAGGCTTCTGACTGAATGTAAGCTATATTAAGAACAGCAATTTTCTTTTGAAATCCTTGTTACTACATCCCAAATCCCTAAAACACAGTGGCTGGAAAACAACAAATACTCAGTATACTGGCTGAGAGAATAAATGAAAGCATGACAGTACATAAATTTGATTAGCATTAAAGTTTCTGCTCTTTTTGGAATTTATAATGAAAAGGAGAAAGAAAAATGAACAACTAAATGTTACATGTGGATGAAGAAACGTTTTACCAGAAGTATAAACTTCAAAGTGCTATAAGAAGTGGCCCCCCAGAAAACCCTGTCTGGTAATAACTGAGGCTCACTTGGAGGATAAATAGGATTTTTTCCCCCCAGTGCTGGAACTGTGCCTGGCCCTCCTGAATGACAATCATTCAACCAGTGAGATACATCCCGGCCCTTTTTAAAATTGTGAGACAGGACCGGGCTTAGTGGTGCACACCTGTAATCCCTGCATTTGAAAGGCTGAGGCAGGAAGATCTCCCTCAGTTCAAGGAGAGCCTGAACTATATAGCAAGGCCCTGATAGGTTTTGGCTGTGTTAGTAGGTTAATCTCAAATCTGCAATCCTTTTGACTCAACTCTCAACCTCCCTAGTAGCTGGGAATATGGGCACACACCACCATGCCTCACTAGGATGAACAGAATTTTAACAATAAAGCAAACATTCTTGGCTGAAGGAAAAAAGCATGCATAAAAGCCTGTGGATGTAAGAAGAGTCACCAGAAGCTACTTCTAGGTGACAGGAAGATTGGATAGGGTACTAAAATGGTTGGGAGGAATAAACTACAGCACAGTACGGTGACTGTTGTTTATACCAACTTATTATATATTTTGTAAATAACTATGAGAGAGTTCAGAGCTCCCTAGCCAAATAAATGATAATGTTTAAGGAGACAGAGATAATAATTACCTAGACTTGATCATTACATATTTTAACATGTACTGAATCATCACACTGTTTTTCAAAAAAACATACATGTCCATTAAAAGAAAAATTTTTCAAGCCTATGAATGAAAGCATGGAAGTATCTTCTCACTAACTTCATAATTCTTCACATACTTACCACCTAAAAAAGCTGGAAACTATATTCAAAGCATACTTTCTAGGGCTGGAGGTATTGCTCAGCGATATAACCATCATCACTTCTCATGTGGTAGGCCCTGTCTGTGGTCAAAGCCCAACACCAAAAAGAAAACAAGCCAGGAATGGAGGCCTGTGTCTGTAATCCCAGCACTCTGAGAGACTGGGGCAAAAAGATCACAAGATCAAGCCCAGTAGGGGAACTTAGATCCTGTCTCAAAATTTAAAAATATAATTAAAAACAAAATATTGGGCATGTAACTTAGTGCAAAGGTCCTGGGTTCAAGCTCCAGTACCTCCCCCCTGCCAAAAAAAAGAAAAACATACTTTTTCCTGCATACAAGTATGATTACCTTCATTTTCTTGTAACTTGAGCTGTTTAACTTCTTTGATTTAAATATATTCATGTGATAACAATGGATGCACTTAGGTTTCTTCAGGGTTGGGTATACTGCCTGATTCATTCATCTGTTACTCAGTCATTGGCAAGCATTGCATTAGGCAATGCAATCTCCCTTGAGTTTGTAGCCTTAGACAAATACATGGAAATCACAGTCTGGGGTGCTGACAGCACCACAGAAGCTTCTGAGCCACAAGGGGAGGGCGCTCAGAGAAAATGGTAAGGAGGTTGACTGAAGTTACAGAGTTTTTTTTAACTCCACGAAGGTAAGGCCATGTTCTTTGCATATCCAACCCTTAAGTCTGTAAGGTCCAATTTTTATTTTGTAATTATATTTTAAAATCTCTTTGAGAAAATTTCATTCCTACAGTCATATTAATGATATACAAAAGTGTGATCATAAAAAGGTATCAAAGGCAACAATAAATTTATGAGAGACAGACTAAACATTCAAACAAATCTTCAGGAAACTTTTTTTTTAAAGTAAAATACTAGTTATAAAAACATTTGAATGGTTCTATATAAGATCTCTAATAAACACGAGATCTTCTTAATTACAAGAAAATTACATTTTAGAGAAATTACATTTGATTTCCAGTTGTTTTATGGTATATTTGGTAACAAATATTTACATCCCTTACCTTCCTGCTTAGTTACTAATATTAAAATGGGCAAATTATGACAGTTCCATAGGGCTTTTTTAAAAAAAACAAGAAAAACATAAAAATACAGGGTTTCCACTGAAGTGCCTCTTAATTCATTTGTGTAATTTCAAATAACACTATCAACTTGTATGAACAGCTTCTCAAAAAGATTCAACTACATTAAAAGAAGGCATTCCAGAAATGCATATCTAATTTCAATAGTGGCCTATTCAGGTGACAGTTATTAAATATTTTTAAATTGTTTTATATTATTTAGTAAAAAATTGTAATAGACTAAGTAATTTATTTTTTAAAATTCTAGAGGCCGGGCATGGTTGTGCACACGTATAATCCTGGCACTTGGGAAGCTGAGGCAGGAGGATCACTGCAAGTTTGAGACTAGCCTGGGTTACAAAGTGAGCTCAAAGCCAGCCTGAACTGCATAGGGAGACCCTGTCTCAAAAAGACAAAGAAAAGTAAATAAATAAAAATTCTATATATTCAGCACTTATATAATTTTAACAATATTAATACGTGAAATATAAAGATTACCTTGTTCTGCTCTGTGAAAGTAGCCCAAGGCCTATTACAAACACAAAGAGCACAAACAGCATGAAAAGAATTAAAATTGACTCAATATTTTTTTAAAAAGCATTTTCTGAATGATCTATTCCTATATTAAATATAAATCAGGAGTAAATCATCTTAAAACCATCAGTTTTTCAATGAGATTAACACAGCCAAATATAACACTAGAATATGTATACCAGTTGTGGCAGTAATTTTGTTCCTATTTAGAACATGTACTCTGAATTATACATCTACATACTCCCCCACTGCATCCCTAGTGCTGGTAATTGCACCTTTGCACTGAAATACAACCCCAGCCTCTTTTACTTGTTATTGTTAAGACAGGATATCCCTAAACTGCTAAATTGCTCAGGTTGGACTTGAACCTGGGACCCTCCTGCCTTAGCTTCCCAGAATGTTGGAATTCAGGCATGTGCCCCCATGCTTTGCTATACCTCTACATATTCTTTACACCACATTCTACACTCGAATTGTAGTATAGGCAAAACTAAAACTCCTTGTTATGACACAAATACTGGGAGAACTTTTTCAACTGCCTGTCTACTCACATTCTGAAAGTTCTATGATTAAGTAAACTTAAAATTTTTACCCAGGGGCCTGGGAGGGCAGCTCAGTGGTAAAGCTCATGCTTATTTAACATACACAAGGCCCTGGGTTCAATCCTCAACACCAAAAAAATTTACCTAGAAAATCCTTTCAAATTTTATTTTTAACAGGAAAAGAAAAGCCTTGGAACTGTAGGAAAACATGAGCCTTTCACAGTAGTTCTTTATAAGAAGTTATAATTAGTTTTTATCAAATATTTTTTGATTTTCCTTCATTTTCCTAAGACTTTTGTTATGTAAAATACCTAAAATATACTTGCTGTTATTTCTTGTTCTATTTTATGACTTTTATATAGAATAGATTTCAAAAGGAAGTTAGGATTTTAGCCATTCGCTATTTTAGCTGACAATGTAACAATTATCAGCCACTCACCTAAAGGAAAAATTAAAAAGCACTCACCAGCCATGGATAATAAGTATTAAGTCTCTGTGATATGATAGTTGGATTGGATCATTAGAAACTTGCTCAAGTCCCTCACTGAATCAGAGCTCCATTTGTGTGGACACTGTAGAATGGCGCTGTAGTTAAGAAATCAGTACTAACTTAACAAAGGACATCATACTACCTCCTCATAGGTGGAACTAGGAGGAGTTGCGAACAGCATTTTAGCAATTCTTCTTTGATACCATGGCATTTCGGCAAATGTATAGCACCTATAGAGAAGTAAAACAGCATCACACATTCACATTTGTTACCGTCTTTTTTTCACTTAAGGAAACAACTAAAAATTTCATTTGAAAAAATTTACCCAAGAAAAATGACAAAGCTAAACATGATATATATGAATAACAACCACTAAGAATATGAATCTATTTCTAAACGAGTGAAGCAAATGACTTACATCCACAATTGTTACAATTTTCTGATATAAAAAGTTTGAGATGTTTAAAGAGGGTCTTGAGGCAGAGACTGTATCTCATGTTTGCTAAGTGACCCTCAATCATCATTAATCCTTGATAGTTAAATATGTTCTTTATCCTGAAAAATATTTACTTATCTTCTAGAAGCCTGACATAGGACTGTTTACACTAGTACCCTTTAAACAGAATAATAAATATTTAGCTCTATAGACTATACCCAAAGGAAACAGTGGACAATCTGTTATCTCAAGACTCCTAAACCAGCAAATATATAACACACTGGTATACCCTAATATCAGGAAAACAATTATCCATCAGTGGATGCAAGATCACACTAAGAATCAAAACAAGAGCTGTGGGGCCGGGGAGATAGCTGAATGGCACAAGCGCCTGCCTGGTAAGTGCAAGATCCTGAGTTCAATTCCCACTACTCCCCCGCAAGAAAAGAGCTGAGATGTAGCTCAGTGATAACAGGGGTGGTCTAGCATGTGAGGCCCCTGGGTATAGCACCCTTAGCACAAAATTAAAAAAGAACAAGATTATACTGTTTCTCACATTAATCTAGATAGTATTTAACAAACTTTAAACATGAAAAGATTCTCGTAGACACGCTCCTATATTACTGTTGTTAGATTAATCCATATTTATTTGGCCTAGTGAATGAGGATATTCTTTCCCAAGAGAGGAAATTTAAAGACCTACAAATTTTAAGCTCTTTTTTTTTAGTCTTAACTGTATGTTTCTAAATGACTTGAATAACAATGTTTAACATCATCACAAATTTAGTATCTTTCAACAACACACGTACAGGTGCTAATTAATGGATTTAACATTTCGAACTCCCTTGAGTAAAGTATGTTACCTCTTGCATAAACTACATTATATATACTATGAAGTAAGATTTTACTAAATAGCACTGAAATTTGAAAGAAATTTTCTTACCAGATACCCATAAGGTGAATTGAGGTAGCATCTTTAGGGTTCAGTTCAATTGCTTTCTATCAAGAAATGAAAAAATCAATTATATTAGTTTTCCAGGCACTAGTAAGTACTTCACTATGTTTGCGGATGAAGGCATGACTTTTTAAACAGCTGCAACCCTGCATTTTACTTCTTCTATGATAATCAATACCCACTTTCTTCCTCCTGATTCTTTGCTAATAACTTGTACTAAAGTTACTACAGTAGGATCTATTAAGTTAAAGGAAAAATGAGTGCTTTTTTGGAAAATCCTAAATGAAAACTGAACGAAAAGCATTCTTTCCTACAAGAACTAGAAGTATTTAATTTTAAAAAATCTCTTCTATTTTGCAGACTTTGCTCAATTTTTCCACCTGCACTTACCAACAGGAAAAATAATATTTATTTATAGGATAGAATAATTTTGTGTAATATTAACAATAGGTTGATAAACCTAATTTCTGTTTACTATGTCAATTAATGTAAAAAGCACAAACAACAGAATAATTTTAAAGAAATTACTCTCCAGCCATCCTGAGCAATTTAGCCTGACTCTGTCTCAAAATAATAGAAAAGGCTAGGGATTGTAGCTGAGTGTTAAGAGGGTTTGCCTAACATGTGCAACACCCACAGTGCAATCCTCAGTGCTACCAAAAAAAACCTGTTTCTTTCATTCACTATTAAAGGCACTAAGGAAATCTCACAGATTAATGTTCATCCTAATGAAAATAAAGGCTTCTTTAAGCCCACATTTTCACTTTTGGTTTAGTAATATGTGAGACAGACAGTGACAAATATTCCTAACAGTTAAGAGCATGGGTTCTGAAACCAGCCTGCCCAGGTTCAAATCACAGCTCAACTTGGCCTCAACTTGTTGACTTTAACAAGTTCTGTATTTTTGCTTTGCCTTATTTTTTTCAAACAAGTAGACCAGTAGTGTAGCTCAGGGGTAGTGTTTGCCCACCATGTATATTTCTTTGTCCTGAGACAAAGAGTAATAAGTAATTAAGTTATGCTACTAAGGAAATTATTTTACTAAACATAAGATACTAAAAATGGTATATCATACCATTATTTTATGTGCTACTAAAAAAAGAAAAACCATTGCTGCCAATTACACTATAAGGTACTACTTATTACATAATGCAATCTGAATTTAAAGATCAGAAAATACAAAATATGCAATGATTACACTGTAAAACACAGATAACTAACTATACACAATATTACTGATGCTTGATTAAGAACTCAAGTCCCTGACTCCCAGTCCACTGTTGTTTTTCACTTTTAGCTGTATAAACTGGAACTGAGACAGTGCCCATAGTCTTAAGGCCACAGGACAACACCTGCAGTACTGTCCCTGTGTGTGCTCCAATGGCTGTTCTCCTGTTTATTTTTGAGATGAACTCCAGTAACAGAAGAGATACTGAGGTTTTGGTGTCCCTTTTTTTAGAAGGACTGACTGTGTGTGTGTGTGTGTGTGTGTGTGTGTCTGTGTGTGTGAGAGAGAGAGAGAGAGAGACAGAGACAGAGACAGAGAGAGAGAGACAGAGAGAGAGATGAAATAGACTCCTGGCCATGCATGGTGGTAGACACCTCTAATCCCAGCACTCAGGAGGCCGAGGCAGGAGGATTAGAGTTCGAGGCCAGCCTGGGATACATTGTGAGTTCAAGGCCAGCCTTGCTATGGCAAGACCCTGTCTCAAAAAAACTAAAAAAAAAAAGAAAAATATAACAGACTCCTATGGAATTTTTGGCAGCTAAAGAAGTATTTACTATAAGTGAATTAATTTTAGAGGGTAATATTAAAACACAAAACACACACAAAAACAATCTTAACTTAAAAAAAAAATCTGAACTAGAATTATCACTACTCTAATGGTATATCAGTTGGACTAGATGTTTCACTAGCTTATGTAGGTATTCAGGACCTTTTATGACTAGTCCCCTTCAACCGAAACTGGGCTTTGCTGTGTCAGTTGATTAGAACAACAGAATATTACAAAGTGTGACACACGTTTGATAAAAGTTTGCACACTGGACCTTCCCCTTGGAACTCTCACTCTTGAAAGCTAGCTAGCTACCACACAATAAAGAAGCTCTGGTGAGGCTATGATAACAAAGACAAGTGTCAGAAACTCTAGTACATGAGAGGCAATCTTCAACATTCAAGTCACAACTGAGAGCCTGGGTGAATGCAACCATCAATATGACCTTAGCTGCACCAAGCAGGGGAGAAACACTATCCGACTCAATAAACCCACATAATTAAAAGAAGCAACCCATTACTTTAGAATGTTTTCCAAGAGATAAGGTTTGGCTATGTTTGGCCAGACTCATTCAGAAATCCTAGGTTCAAGTGATCCTCATGCCTATGCTTCTCAAGGAAATGGAACTACAGGCCCAGGACACCATGCCCAGCCTTAGGCTGCTAAGTCTCAGGTGACTTAGTAACTGAAACCTATTCAGAAAAATAGCTCACATTTTAAATTCATGAACTTGAGTAAGTCATCAGTACCTCAAAATGCTCCTTGATAACGTAGGCATTTGCAATTTTAACCTTGATGCCTTCATAATCTCCAACATCACTAATGCAGATTGCATACCACTATAAGTAGAGAGAAAAAGTTGTGAGAATACTCTTAATAAGTGTTTTAATACCAAGAAAAATCATACAATTATTTATTCCTTAATTGTCATTCTCATTTAACCAAAGTTATTGAGCATAAAATCAATGGTAAATGTAGTAGAATACATACAGAAATAAGCTTGCAGTCTCAGCTACTTGCAATAAGCTTGCAGTTGTTTGAGCCCAGCCTATGCAACATAATGAAATTTTGTCTCAGAACACAACAAAAAAATACAAATAAGTTAAAAGAATGGAAAAGTATATACCATGCTAACATTAATCAAAAGAGGCAAGAATGGTTATATTAACATCAAAGACAATAAAACTCAGAATATTTATAGAGATAAAAGAGGATTACTTTTTAATGACAAAGAATTCAATTAGAAAAAATTAATCCTAAATGACTATTTTTCTAAAAGTAACACTTTTAAAAACATGCTAATATGCATAGGATCATTTTGATTCTTTTGTACTTATATAAGCGTGTTCTATGACCTAATACGTGATCTATTTTGGAGAAAGTTCCATGTGCTGGTGAGAAAAGTGTATTCTGCTGCTGGATGGAACACTCTGTACATATTCACTAAGTCCATTTATTTAAAGGTTTGATTCAGCTCTGATATTTCTTTGTTGATTTTTTGTCTAGCTGATAGTCTATTTGTGACAGTGAGATATTGCGATTCCCCGATTACAACTGTATAGTGTTTATCTGGGTTTTCATATCCATTAGTATTTTATACAGTAGGATGCACCAGTATTTGGTGCACATATACGTTTTGCCAAATGTATACACACTTCAGGAAAATAAAAATTTGTATAAATATTTTAATACTAAATTTATTGAGATATAATGAGATGAATACAAGTTACCTTTGGCCTCTGTAATTGTAAGAGTTTTTAAAGTGGTGGCCATGAGCTTCCAGACATTTATTAGTATGGCAAACTGTTGCTCTGGTAACCTTGGTCATTGAGATTGTTGCACATGTTTTTTCAATTTCTTCTCTAAGTTTCGGCGATATAGTGGGTTTTTTGTAATATATGACACCCTCTAGGGTCCTCCATATAAGGGTAACACCATCTGCTGAAAAATACCATACTATGTTTCTTTTCCTTAAGTGTGTGTATACATGTTTTTTGGCAGATTATTTATAATTGCTATCTCTTCCTCTTTGATTATTCCTATAACAAGTATATAGTGACCATCGTCTGATTGTCTTTGTCTGGAAAAAAAAAGTTACTCCTGCTTTTTTCCAGGTTCCTATTGCATGAAGTATAGTTTTCCATAATTTGACTTTCAATCTATGATTTTCTTTTGGAGTTCAATGAATTTTTGTATGCAAAATATGGTACACTTTATTTCTAAATCCATTCTGCCACTCTGTTTCCTTTGATTGGTGAATTGAGACAATTCATATTGATGGTTATAAGTGGTACATATTGGCTGATCCCTGTGACTGTATTATTTTCCTGTTACGCTTCCCTTTCATTCCCTTTTAATTACTTGCCCTGCTGGTGGATTCATTCAGTTCATTGGAAATGGTGTCTTCATTGTCTCTTTCTAGTAACATCCTTCAGAATTTTTTGCAATGTTGATTTGGTGGCTATGAATTTATTCAGGTGTTCTTTATCATGGAAGTAACTTATTTCTCCATCAATCTTGAAAGATAATTTTGCAGGGTACAACAATCTGTGTTGGAGGATGTTTTCCTTTAGGGTTGAAATATTTTACTACAAGCTCTCCTTGACTTAATGGTTTGTGTTGAGAAGTCAGCTACGAATCTGATGAATTTTCCCTTATAGGTGATTTGTTTTTTTCCTCTAACAGCTTTTAACAGTCTGTTCTTGTCAGATCAGAGTGCAATGAAATTGGAAATAAATGCCAAAAGAGCACAAAAACTACATAAATACACTGAAATTAAACAATACCCTCTTGAATAACCAATGGGTCACAGATGAAATTAACGAAGAAATTAGACAGTTTCTACAAGTGAACAATAATCCCAGGAAGATATACCAGAATTTATGGGACACAACGAAAGCAGTCCTAGGAGGGAAGTTTATAGTGGTGAATTCCCACATTAGAAAAAGGGAGCGAGCTCTAATAAATAACCTAATATTGAACCTCAGACTTCTGGAAAAAGTTGAACAAGTTAAATCCAAAGCTCATACAAGGAAAGAAATCATAAAGATCAAAGCAGAAATTAATGCAATGGAGACTAAGAAAACAATACAAAGAAGAAATGAATCAAAGAGTTGGTTCTTTGAAAGATTAAATAAAACTGACAAATCCTTAGCCAACCTTACCAAAAAAAGGAAAGAAAAGACCCAAATTCATTCAATTAGGAGTGAAAGGGGAGAGATCACAACAGATTATATAGAAATCCAGAAAGTCATTAGCACCTACTTTGAAAACCTGTCCTCAAGTAAGATGGAAAACTCAGAAGAAATGGATATTCTTCAATACATATGAATTACCAAGCCTGCATCAAGAAGATATAAAATTCTAAACAACCCAGTACTGGTCAAAGAAATTGAAGGAAAAAAAAATCTACCAACAAGGAACAGCTGAGGTCCTGACAGATTCACTGCTGAATTCTAGAAGAACTTTAGAAAAGATCTAATGCCAATACTCCTCAAACTCTTTAATGAAAAGGAAGGAGAAGCAGTATTCCCAAAATCATTCCTAGAAGCAAGCATTACCCTGATACCAAAACCAGAGAAGAACCAATCAAAAAAGCGAACTATGTACAAGTCAATCTCTTTAAGGAACACAGATTCAAAAATCCTCAATAAAGATAGTGGCAAACACAATGCAGCAAATCATCAAAAAGATTACACACCATGACCAAGGAGGATTCCTCCCAGGGATGTAGGAATGGTTCAACATATGCAAATCAATCAGTGTAATATGCCACATTAACAGAACCAAGGACAAAATGTACATGATCATCCCAGATCATGCAGAAAAAAGTATTTGACAAAATCCAGCACTTAATCGTCATTAAAAAAAAAAAACCTAAAGATAATTGGAATAGAAGGTCTTTATTTCAATCTGATAAAAGGCATCTATGACAAACCAACAGCCAACATCATACCTAATGGCCAAAAACTGAAAGTTTTCCCTCTAAAATCAGGAAAAAGATAAGGATGTTCACTATTACCATTCCTGTTTAATATAGTTCTGGAAACATTAGCTAGAGCAATTAGACAGGAAAGAGAAATGAAAATACTAACAGGAAAGGAGGAAGTCAAATTATCATTATTTGCTGATGACTTCATACTCTATATAGAAGACCCCAAAACTCTACTAAACTTAGACCTACTAACCAAATTCAGTAGTGCAGCAGGATACAAAGTCAACATTCAAATATCAACAGTATCCCTGTACACAAATAACAAACTCACTGAAAGAGAAACTAGGGAGGGGCTGGGGATTTAGCTCAGCGTCAAAGCACGTGCCTGGCAAGCATAAGGTCGTGAGTTCGATTCCTGGTACCGGAAGGAAAAAAAAAAAAAGAGAGAGAGAGAAACTAGGGTAACAACACCTTTCAGAACAGCATCAAGAAAAATACTTAGCAATCCATCTAATAAAGGAAGCAAAAGATCTTCACATTAAAAACCACAGTAATCTGAAAAAGAAAGTAAAAAATGGTTTCAGAAAATGGATAGATATCCCTCGTTCTTGAATAGGCAGAACCTAGTGAAAACGGACAAATGGTTACACAGATTGAATGCAATTCTGATCAAAATGCCAATAGCATGCATCACAGAACTAGAGAAAGTAATCCTAAAATTCATATGGAACCATAAGAATCCTAGAATAGCAAAAGCAATTCTAGGCAACGAAGGTATTATGGTTTGTGTCTTGATGTCCCCCCAAAGCCTCCTGTGGTCATGGGGGTGCCTGCCTTTTTGAAGGCAGCTGAATCTAGTTTGTGACTGGTTCACTGTCTAGTGCTGGGATCAGGGGTGTGGGTGCCACACCCACCCTAAGGTGGGTAGCCTGCATACAGTATAAGGAAGGAAAAAAGGCTTGCTCCACCCCTTTTGCTCTTGTTGCTTTTGGTATCTTCTGCCACCATGAAATGTTGCCCCTCTGCCATACCACCCTACCTTGGAGCCAGCTAATATGGACTGAAACCTCTACAAACTGTGAGCTAAATAAACCTTTCCTTCCTTAACTTTGGGTGTTAGATATTTTGTCTCAGCAAGGAGAGAAAAGTAACTAAGACAAAAGGCAAAGCAGAAAGTATCACAATCCTCTACTTAAAATTATACTACAAAGCTACTGTGATAAAAACAAAATGGTACTAACAACAACAACAAAGAAACAGACCCAAGGGTGGAGGACCACCTGGGCAACTCTCCCTGAAAGAAGAGCAATTCTCTCTATTTTGGCTGAGCCTGACCTTATTTCCATGTATTGATTTGTACAGAGCTGGCCAGGACCCTTTCCTTATCCCTTCAATTGGTTTTAAGCAATGCATATCCATCTAGCCTAGATGGTGATGGTAGTTTTTGAAGACAGAAGGCATATTACCCCCCCCACCGCCCCGACCCCCATTGTTCCCAGGAGTGAACCAATGCTCCAGCTGTCATCTATCAGGATAGAGGCTATGACTTCCTGGGACTTGCAAGATTACATATCAGAGCTGAAGCACCAACTCCAAAACATTAGATACTATCCCAATTATGTTATGCAGATTACTCTTTCTGCATTTGCAGAGGTGATTTCAGGCCTCCTACCTAGCCCAGCTCATGGCACTGACCTACTTCCTGCCATTCTCACAGTCACTCATCCTCAAGCCACTCCCTTCTTCATGAATGAATAAAACCCAGGTTTGGCCTTGGGTTGAGGCCTTTGTTCCAGATAGCCATCATTGTGGCTGGACTTGGACTCTTTGACTCCCCATAACTACAAATATGTCTTAGTGTCTTTATTCTCACCACGAGTTTCACTGGAAGTGGTAGACTGGAATTAACCCACTAGGATTCCAGTAACTTTTCATGGGATTACAAATATAAACTTCCTGAGCTGCAAGGAGGACTGGGAAGGGCCCTCTATACCAAAGGATCAATGGAACAGAATAGAAGATGTAGAAACAACTACAAAAACACTCAGCTACCTTATCTTTGAAAAGGGCACAAACACCTTCACTGGAAGAAAGTCTCTAATAAAGGGGGAAAATGCTCTCTCCACGTATCATCAAAAATTAAACCTACACCCATATATCACACCATGCACTAAGCTACAACTGAAATGGATCAAAGATCTAAATATTAAGACAGAAACAATTTGCTGGAAGATAGAACAAATGAAACTCTTGAAGACATAAGCAACACCAATTGCACAGGAAATACTACAAAGAAACGACTGGAATCACATCATATTAAAAAGCTTTTGCTCAGCAAAGAAATGATCAACAGAGTAAAGAGACAACCCACAGAATGGGAAAGAAACGTTTACCACTTTTTCTTCAAAAAGTTAATATCTATAATATATAAAGATATCAACAAACTAAGCCCCCCCCACTTGATAACCCAATCCAAAAATAGGCCTCTGAAATGAAGGCATTTTTCAGATGAAGAATACAAACAGCAAATAAATACATGAAAAAAAAGTTCAATATCACTGGTCACTTAAGAAATGCAAATTAAAACAACACTGACATTCCATCTCACCCCAGAAAAAATGGCTATCATAAAGAAAGCAATCAATAACAAATGCTGGTGAGGCTGTGGGGGGAAAATGAACTGTTGGTAGGAATGAAAATTGGTGTAATCAGTATGGAAATCAGTATGGAGATTGCTCGAAAAATTAAAACTAGAGGTTCTGTTTAACCCAACTATTACCCTTCTAGTAATCTTCCCGAAAGAGTTAAAAGCACGGTACCACAGCAACACATGCACAACCAAGTTTACAGCAGCACAATGTACAATAGCTAAATTTTGGAAATTGCCCACATGTCCATCAACGGATGAATAGATAAATAAAATGCAACTTTTATATGCAATGGAGTACTACTCTGCCTTAAAAAGCATAAGCTTGAGACATTTTTAGGTAAATGGATACACCTTGAGAATATAATTTTAAGTGAAATAAACTGAACACACATTTAAATATTTCATTGTTTCTCTTCTGTGAGAAACTTAAAAGAGTAAATAAGGACCAAAATGGAGGATTGATATTGCGAAGTAGGAAGAAAACATTCAAATGGGAAAGGGAACAAGGGAGGGGGTAGGACAAAGGGAAGGAAGGAAACAGGGATTTTAAAAAATTAAAGAACGGAAATAAAAAAATAGAAACAAAGTTTTATAAATGGAGAGGGGAAGAAGGATTAAAGGGAAAGGAGGGAAATGGGGAAAAAAAAGAATTAAGATATATACAGGTACAAATTTCCTATGATGAATTTGATCACTTACAGTAAAATTAATTTTTAAAAAATATTGTAAGGCGCACCTGGCTAGCTCAGTCAGTAGAGCATGAGACTCTTAAAAAATGCTGGAAAAATTAAACAGAATTCCAAGGAAAAAATAAAATCTACAATTATATTTGGAAATTTCAATGCTCTACTTTCAGTAATTTACAAAAAATCAGTAACATTTTAGAGGATTCAAATACTATCAACCTATGTGATCTAAATAACATTTATAACATTCTTTTCACACACACAAAGAACATTTACAATAACAGGCCTTGTTTTCTAACTATAAAATATGTCTCAATATATTTAAAGGAATTTGTATCTGCTTTATCTTTTAAATAAACTAGCAATAGTTCTAATGCAGTAAGGAAAGGTAGAATACTAACTCCTAAAGGGAATATCTGGAAATGAGTGGAGATGCAATTTGGTTGTCACAATGATTGAGAGGCTCTACTAGGGACAATCCGACAAGTTAAAAGTCCTAATCCAGGGGCTGGGGATTTAGCTCAGCGGCAAAGCGCCTGCCTGGCAAGCACAAGGTCGTGAGTTCGGTTCCCGGTACCGGAGAAAAACCAAAAAAAAAAAAAAAAAAAAAAAAAAAACCAAATCCAAAACACTATGGTGCCCCCAAGCTTCCCTCTCTATCTACTGAAAAAGTGTCCTAAGGCAATCAGGACGTCCAGAATCTAGCTGAGATACATGTGAAAAAAAAAAAAAATCACAGTACTGCCCAGCTGCTATACTCTTACCTTGACATAAAATAAAATATAATGTGCAAAAAAATGAGAAAATATTTGTCAAGGGCTAGTACTAGAAATAGATGTAGGTAATTCAGAAACCTACCTCACTTTTGTTCAAAAGTAAACATCCACAAATATAATTTATCAAAACTCACAACTTATCAAAACTCTTACAGGTCTAGAATTCCAGGCATACACTACCATGCCCAGCTAAAATTACTTTTTTGTTGTTGTTTTTTGTTTTTTTCTCCGGTACCGGGAACTGAACTCACGACCTTGCGCTTGCCAGGCAGGCGCTTTTGCCGCTGAGCTAAATCCCCAGCCCCTAAAATTACTTTTTTGAAGAAAATGTTATAAAAATAAATTATCTTCCCTACTTCTTTAAAATATAACAATTTCCTTTGCTATGTAAACTAGGCATAATCCAGTATAGATCAGTGTTCCTTTTCGCACATGCTGACAGCTAATTATAACCTCACCTTATGGGCAGCAGAGCTTGAGTCATCTTTTTCCAGTGCTCTTTTCGCATATTCAAGGGCTTCGTACACAAGAAGCTTCTTCTCCTCTTCTGAAGTCCTGCTAAGCTGAGCTCTATCACGTGATGCCCGTGCCAAACGCCACAGTAACTCTGCATCTTTACTAATTTGAAATGAAACAGAAAACCACCATTTACACTCACATTTAAAAATTGTTGGGCCATGGATATAGCTCAGTGGCACAAGGGCCTGCCTAGCAAGCACAAGGTCCCGAGTCGATTCCCAGTACCCAAAACAATAAATAAATAAAAATAAAAAAATTGTTAAAGGTCATACCACTAATGAATGGTCTTTCAGCTTGGTTATGACACAGAAAGCAACACAGTATCAAAAGCTATTATTAATACTAAATTTATTATTTTCTTTCATAAAAATCTTTATTTGCTAAAACTTCCTAAAAACAGCCAATATTATTCCTAATATCAGCTTTTCTATAATACCTACAATACTGACTTCCTTAGAAATACCTATATTTAAATTCTCTAAATACTTGCCCTAAAAAAATCACAACTTGAGGCTTGACTTTAATAGCACTGTGTTTCACACTACTCATTAAACAGTTGAGACACTACCATAACACACATAAACTTTATAACATGGTCATGCTCTAAAAACAAAACTACCAAATCTCTAGCCTCAAATATAGCACCTGGCACACAGAGATATATTAGGTATTTGTTAATGGATGAATGATTGACTATAATCTCAAAATAAATCCCATGTTTGAATGGCATAACATGATGCATGGCTTATTTCAAGTAAGAGTACTGGACTACTTGAAGAACTACCACTTAATTACATAAAACAAGAAGTGGTTACTAAATCAGTAACCATAATTGACAAAAATGTTTTAACAAACTAACATCAAATTGTGCTTTATTAAATGTGCATCTCTGTCAAGTGTGGTAGCAAATGCCTGTATTCTCAGAACTCAGGACTCTAAGACAGAAAGAGCACCATGAGTTTAAGGCCAAACCAGGCTACATAGTGCATTCAAGGCCAGCCTAAACTACATAGTGAGACCCTGTCTCAAAAATAACAACAACAACAACAAAAATAGTTCATCTTTAAGCCTACTTCTTATTTTTTTTAAACAGTAAGTAGTATTCACATAAAATTTTAAAACTAAGCCAGCCATAGTGGCACACGCCTGTGATACCAGCACTCAAATGGCTGAGGCAAGAGGATCACACCTTGGGAGGCCAGCCTAGGATACATAGCAAGTTCAAGGAAAGCTAGGTAGGAATACTATATTTATTATTCAATAAATATAAACTATCTTATAGCCCACTTTTCAAGTTATCACTAAAATGAGTAAGCCAAAACAGTTACCTCAAGTTCCTAAAGGTAGAATGGAGAAAAAAGATTGATCCTGTAGATATTTACGAAGCAAACTGATAGACCCTGAGGAGAAAGCTAATTTCGAACTTTTAATTTAGGAGATTAGTTACCTGGATTAGTAGATCAATTATATGGAAAGCCCATTTGGTCTTATTTGACTTACAGGATTAAAGCTTTTTCTATCTACACCCTCCAAAGAAATGAGTACACACTGACACGCTAAGCATGTAGCCTAGTATGAAAAATTTTAAAAGCAGATACTTTAGGTTTTTCTGAAAAACTATGCTTCTAAACAGTTACCTTTCAATGGAGACATAAATTATCCCAAATTCTGGTGAATTCAAATTATATATGTAACAATAAGTAATTACTTTAACAGGAAAAAATGAGAGCTACACAATATACAAGGTGTGAACAAAATATATGGTGAATGTTACAGTAAAACACACTTTGTCATTAATCTCTCTTAAAATACTTCCCCTCACTTATTGCATCATTTCTGCCACTTTATGAAAAAGATCTAAAAGTTCTCTTTCATGTCTTTATGAGGTATAATAAAAAAAAAAATACAGTGAATGCCGCTGCCGAGTGCCATCCAACAGAAATGCCAGCCATCCAGCTGACATTATAGTGTGTTCTCATCTATTTTATTCACCAGATCTGGCACTGTGTGACTTCTGGCTCTTCGTCAAAATCAAACTGAACATGAAAGATAAATATTTTGAATAGATTCAAGACATAAAGCAGTCAAGACATCAAAGCAGCCACAACAGTGCAACTAAAGCCTCAGAAGAGGACTTCCAGAAAGTGGCAAGAATGGGGGCATAGGTATGTTCAAAGTCGGGGGAGTATTTTGAGAGGGCATGAGACACACACCAATGTGTCTTTCATTGAAATAAATTTTTTTCAATTTACATATTCACTGTATTTTTTGTCACACCTCATAGGTGAGGTAAACATATATTCCAAAGCAAAATGGAAACTTTAAGAAAACCCAAGGTTATGCCTATCATATATTGCCTACCTTTCCTTGTATTGAGTTAGCAACTGATAAAGTTTTTCTGTTTCTCCACTTTCATATAGGTAGTCTGCTTGCTCAAGAATCTCTTCAACTTCCAAAATTATAAAGGAAAAAAGATGTAAGTAGGTCTTCCCAAGTCAGAACACAGTAGTTTTATGAAATGTGAACATTTTTATATAAAAGCTAGCAAAATCAGACACAGAAACGACTTTAAGAAAAAACATTCTGAGGAATCTAGATGAAATATGGCAGAAATAAATATGAAATTATAATAAATGATTTACTGAAACCATGGAAAATGAAATTTGGATAACTTACTCTGACACCAAAGTGTAATATGTAGATTTTTTAAAAAAGCAATTTTATGTGTCAGAATTTATCACACAGATAAATCAATAAACCATGGAAGAAAGAATGGGTAAAACTTAGAAGAGCTGAAAAAGGAAGCTGATTCTCCCCTGGGTCTCTGTAAAGTAACACAGCCCTTTCCAACACCTTGATTTTAGTCCACTAAGAACCATTTTGGACTTGTGAACTACAAAAAGAGTAGATTTAAAAATCTGCATTAGATCACTGAGTTTGCTACAGCAGCGACAAAAAAAAAACCTAAAAAAACTAATTTACAGTATTAAATTCACCTATCTAGCATATTTGGAAGTGCACATAGTGTGTATAAGTAACAGTTACTTTTATTCACTGATTATTCTCCAACTCCCTAAAAACTGATTACTGCATTTAACAGGAATTCTACATTTCATCATTCATATGATCTTTAATATTTATAGAAATTTAGTGACTTAGTTAAATCTTTTTTGTGTCTATTTTACTATACCCCTCAAATCACATAGTTCCAGTTTCCTTATCACACAGTACATTAAATAAGATGTAGTATCCAGGCTTTAAAATATATAGTATGTAATATAGTACATTTACATAGCATACAATTTAGAATTGTCTTCATGTGCACATTTATTTTTATAGTGCAGAGGAAGCTACATTTTTGTGCAGCATATAAGTGAACACAGGTATAAACCAGTCAGAATGAAAAGAATTAGCATACGCTTGATAAGAAGAATAACAATTTCTGTCTACAATAAATAGACTCATACATTCTTTTGGACCAAATGGCATCCTCAAAGCAAGTACTGTTACATAAGAGGTACTAAATATACCTTCTTGATGCACAACAGTTCTCAAGTATATTTAAAAGAAAAAGAAAAAAGATTGCGATGGAAAAATGAAATCAACAGGCAACTTATCATCTTTCGATAAGTCTTCAAATTATTCTTCTATAAGAACTTTAGAAGAACATCTTTTCAAAAGCAAATGTTTTTTCCCAATTACCTTCACCTTTATTATTAAAAAATGAAGACCATAAAAAACACAAAGGGTTAATCCATAAATTAAAATTGCCAATAAAATTTTGGCTCTTTCTACAGACAACCAGCTGAACCAAATTTAATTTTTAGAAATTTGATATATCTTAATGTATCTTTACTTAATATGATTATGCCAAATAAAAAGATGGAATTTTTCTACTTTTAAACCAGTTATCTTATATTCGATACCAAACTCCATTCTATCTGTAAATAAAATACTTCTATCTCTAAGTAGTAGGACCTTTTCTTAAGTGTATCAAGAAAAGTGTATCACCTTGGCACTAGAGAAGCATGTGAAAGTATCACTGGAAAGTGGAGTTTGGCAAACTTTTGCTGTAAAGGTCCAAAGAGTTCATGCTTTGTGGGTAACACACTGTCTCTATGATTATTCTTTCCCAGCATCCCCTACAACATTAAAAATGAAAAAAAAAAAAAAATTAGCTCCAGGGTTGAACAAATAATATGAAGCATTAATACATAACCACTGAACGTGGTCTGGCTTCTAGAAAAAAATTAAATATACATATAGGCTGAAAGTAAAGAAAAACAGAAAATAACCTGTACTATAAAAATGCCAATTTAATTATCTATTCAAAAATAAAAATAAGTACGTCTTCCAGATGTTTACCTTACATTTACTTACCTTTAGCTGTGCAATGAACTACAGCAGCCTGAGAAATGACTTGGTAAGTTTCAAAACCCAAGTAAGACAAGGCTGAGAATAAAAGGCCTCTTTTGAAAATTCCTGGGTTTCCTATCACCTATGAAAAATAATATGGTCAGTTTTAACTTAGAAAATTTGAACAGACTACTACTTTAAGCAAAAAACATACCACTTTCTCTCACCTTCAAAGATATTAACCATAAAAATACTGGAAATTGAAAAATTACTCCATCAAATTCATTAGTAAAATTATTTCAAACCTTATGGAGAGACTATCTCAGAAAAAGATACCACCTACAAGTGGTAAAAACCAGTCCTGGGCTAGGAATGTACTGCATTGGTAGTGCACTTGCCTACCATGCACAAGGTCCTGGCTCAATCCCCAGCACTGAAAAAATAAGTAAAATCAGTCAAGCTAGTAATGCTGGACTGGAAGATATATAATTTATTTGCAGAGACATGGATGTGATACACTATAAAAAATAAAATATGAGAAACTGAAACATGCTAAATATTTATCTTAGCCATAGACAAGACACAGGAACTACTTCATCAGACACAATAATTAACTACACATAAAACATGTTCATCACTTTAAGTGAAGACATTTTCAAAGCCATCCATAACCTTCAGTTTTTAAATAAACAAATGTGGATGAAGATCATATTCAAACGGATTTGGAAATTAATTTTTCATAATTATGGCCAGATTCTTGAGCCCAATGACAAGAGGAATACATACCACTCCAACAGTACTTCTTCACCTTTCCCACAACTTTTCTCTTTAACATAGCATGTGTTCTTTTATTTAGTCTCATCACATAAAAAAGCAAGGTATGCTGTCTTTGAAAGACAAGCTGCATTTTCTTCTTAAAAACAAAAGCTTCCTCTTGATCTCACATGGCCCTTAATCTCACTTCTTAATCTCACAGTTCAGCAAAACTCTTCTTAAAATTTTTCTGTACTGTTTCTACTTCCTCTCTTCTTCCACTCTCTCTGGAACCCACACAAATAACACTATGAGCCTCACAACTTCACTCATGCCATTCTAGATAATGACACCAAGAATACTTCTACTAGTTGAGTATCTCTTATCTAAAATGCTTTGGACTAGAAGAGTTTCAGATGTTTGTGGGATATTTGCACAAACAAAATGAGATACCTTCTGGATGGGACTAATGGATGAACGCGAAATACATTTATGTTTCATATACACTTTACATATATAGCCTGCCAGTAATTTTATTCAATATTTTTAGTGTGCCTGTGTTTTGACTGTGACCTGTCACATGAGGTCAGGTGTAGAATTTTCCACTTACACTGCTCAGTAAATTTCAGATTTTAAAGTAACATACAGTAAACTGCATATGAGTGGTATCCAGTTTAAGACATGTATAAACATAGCAAACTAATAACATCACAATGAAAATAAATACATCCATCAGCCCCAAAGGTTTTCTCTGTCAGTATTCCAGTGTAACTGGCATGGTAAAACTGAACTTTCAATGTTAGGTTTACTTCTTTAGAGGTAAGTGGCTTCTTCAACTTTCTCCTATCTGAGGGTAAAACCAACACTTTCCTCTCCTGTACCCAAACACAATGACAGGATGTGCAAACGCTGGCTGTAGGAAGTCAGGGACTACTTCTTTCCCATAGGAAAGGGAGAAATCAAGTTGAAGATGCTAGAAATCAATAAAACAAGCCTGGAGATATGTACTGTCTCCTTCTATTCCCCCGACTTACACAAGACAGCTGCACATCTGTACAGGGTGAGAGTGGTCTGAGGCAAATGAGGCCCCTTCATCTCCTCAGAGCTAGATTTTAATAAATTCTTTTTCCTTTGCACCAAAATGAATGGCTTCCTTTGACTTGGTCACTAGCACACAGAGGAATTTTAAGTGACCAGTAACGCTAACATTTAATTACATTGTTACTCCCAAAACCCTTCAGTTCACTTTTGAAATAAAAACTCCCCTGGGATTTCCTCCTGCCTCCATGACTGCTCCTTCTCTTTTCTTAGCTCCTCATCTCCAATATCTCCAATATCTCCAATATCTCCAATATCTCCAGGTCCACGTTGTCCTGAGTTTGCTCCTCTTCTTTTCTATTTATGATCTCATTTCATTCACGATCTTAGATACTATCAATAAGCCCAAAACACACCACCTTTGCCTGGATATCTCCTCCAAACTTCAGAATCATATATTTTACATCTACCTTTACATGCACTTTCTTTGGCATCTCAAAACAACTAGTCCTGCTGAGCTTGGCGGCTCATGCCTGTGGTCCTAACATTCTGGAGGCTGCCACAAGTTCGAAGCCAGCCTGGGCTCCATAGGAAGTTCAAAACCAACGTGAACTACACTCCGAGACCCTATCTCAAAAAAGTATGACAGATTCAGAACTCTGTGACACGTCCAAGAAACTAATAATTTGTACAAATGTCTGAGGTACCTAGCATGTGTGCTGGATTTATCACATCCCTTCTAAGAAGCACAATACAAAGGAAGTGACGTCAATTCCAAGAGTATTTAATGAAAGAAAAACACTCTGACCTTTACGCTCTGCTCTCTTTAACCACCTGCCTGTCCTAGGAGAAGCCGGAAGCTATTTCTTGCTGGCATCAGCACCCAGTGAAGAAAGTCTCCCTACAGCCATGTAAGCGGCCCTGTGCGCCTCCAAAGACCTCAGCAGCTGCCAGCGTGACTTGACCTAAGGGACGTTCACGCAGAAGAACCAAGCTAAATCATGCCTGGATTCCTGACCAACACAAACCATGAGATAAGAAATGCTGTTATTTCACAGTTTAAAATAACGAAACAGTTCAAATGAAATACTGCACATGCATCAATGCCATTCCTACACCCGTACCCCCCTGCAAGAATTAACAGTGGGCCACGACCAGTCTGACAGAAATGTCAGATCTGAGACAACAGTCCAACATCCTCACGCTCTTCCTTACCACTGAGACAAAGCCAGTAAGTCGGAAATGATTACAAACGCAATAACCCTAAATAGCGCGAAAATCTCGGCTCCCGAGTCACAGAACTTGTCGTTCCCAACACCAATGTAACAGTCCAGAAGACGAAAGGAACAGCCTCAAGAGCTGTAACCGTATCGGACACTGCTGAACGCGAGATTTCCCGGCACTGAAAGCTCCTCCTCCACACCTTCCCGCGGGGAGGGCGGCCGGGAGACGCGGCTCCCTCCCTGGCCGCCCGCCACCCGCCGCGTCCCTGGGAGCGCGCAGGGTTCTCCCGGCCGGGGAGCGCACCTAGGCAGGGTGCGCGCTCTTGTCCTCCGGGCGCGGGGCTACCCACTCCACGGGGCCCCGCCCACTGTCCAGGGAGGGCGGGGCCGGCACGCGCGCTTACCTCGGAGCCGCGGAACGGCCGGAGGCCGCACTGCGCCGGGCCGCCCGGAGTCCTCGCGGGGAACCGAGGCCCCGGGGCCCCACGTGCCAAGCTAAGGAAGCGCCACGCTCGCGAGGCCAGCGCCATGACCTACAATCGTACACCTGACCCTAAAAGCCGTCAGGTCGCTACCGAGCGGGGCGGAGTGAAAAAAAGGGTCACTCTCAAGAGAGCAGCCTCCTCCCAGAAGCGCTCCTTCCAGTCACACCACTTCCTCCACAGCTTCCGGGACGGGAAATGCCCGGACTGGGTGGGACTTTGTGGGCCTTCTGCGCCTGCGCCCACAGGCCAGGCACGGTGGAACAGAGAGCCCCCTACTGGCCGCTGTCGGCTTTCGATCTCAGGGCACTAGATACCTACCTTTTTGGCTAGAGAGAAGGTTGCTAGAAGGGAGCTGAGAGCTCTGAAAAGAACATACAGTACCTGTAAAAGAAAAAGTGATTTGCTTTTTGGAAAAATTAAATTGCCCCACATAGGAGAAAGAAAGAGGTGGAGAAACTGAAGATTCAAAAGGGAGAGAAACTAGAGAAGAGGAACAGTGTAGGCAAAATATTAGCTGGCCTTAATTAAAAGACTAGGTAAGGGGCTTGTGCTGGGCCAAGGGTACAGCTGGGTTGGTAGAGTGCTTCCCTGGCATGTGCAGGATCGGGGCTGATCCCTAGCTTGGCCAGGAGAAACATGACATGCTCGTAGGACGTGGGATGTGTAATTCTTGGAGTGAATGACAAAACTTTTTGAGTCCTGTTTGAGAACTTTTGAAGGTGAAAACATATGCGGCAAAATATATATATATATATCCGTTGTGCTGCTATTGTAGGCAGCTGAGTTAGAAATATTACAGGCAGTCAGATGGGGCCAGGCCCTCAAAGGAGGAACATGAAAGACAAGATAAGATACCTGTGGGCCAGAACTGAAGGCAAAAGGACTAACAAATGCACCCACATACCTGGTGTGAAGATCAAGGATTGATATTCTAAATAGGTAGCAACCACCTTCAAAAAGACAGAAAGTCACTAGCCCAACCCCCTACAGGAAAAGCCCCTGTTCTGTATTCATGACCTCTTACTAAGAGACTCGCTTCCCCATTTGATCCCAGTTTACTTAGTTTTACTTGAACAATTATACTTGTAATCTTATTGGCTGACCATAGTTTTGTCCCACCTCATGCCCACCTTGTAATTTCCCATTTTCCCCCTACCTTGGACCCGCCTCACCTCAGGGTTTTGCTCTATAAAGTCCCTGGGAAGAGCACGGTCCTTGTCAACCCACTCAGGCCCTCTTCTGTCCCTCTCTTGGACAGAAGCTTTCTTTCCCTCAATAAATATATTCTGCTTTTAACCTCCATTGTTCCAAAATTCATTCTTTGATTTTAGAGAACACGAACTCGTCCCAGATATCATTCGAGTTGGGAGTTTTTATTTTCCTGTATCACTTCCACTTAGTGTGATAGCAAAAAATATCTCCAGAAATAGCAAAATGCCCTGAGGTGTAGAATTACCAGATTCAACAAAAATAAATACAGGACCCTCTGCAAATTTTTAATTTCAGATAAACAATCATTTTGTGTTTGTGTGGTACCAGAGATTGAACCCAGGGTCTTGCACATGCTAGGCAGATAATCTACCACTGAGTACCTCCCCAGCCCCCCAAATAATTTTTAGTGTAGCATATTCCAGGGAACATACTTATAATGAAAATTGATTTGTTGTCTCTTTGAAATTCAAATGTAGCTGGACAGCTTATATTTTGTCTGGCAACCCTTCTGCATTTGCTAGGGTTGAGAATAATTGGCTTTCAGTGTTGCTCAATTTGAGTTTGGTTGGTTATTTCCTTATGATTTTTATGATTCAATTTAGGTCATGCTTTCTTGGCAGGAATATTAAATAACATGTCCTCTCCATGGCCTTGCATAATGAGTCTTCTAATGTGATTTTGCCTCATAATTAGGAAATAAATTAGGAAATAAATTTTGTTTTTTGTTTTTTGTTGTTAGGGGGGTTGCAGTGAACAAAACAATTCCTAGAGGAATAGTGTTTACTTTAGTTGAGGAAACATAGTAAACAAGATAAATAATATAAAATGTAAAATGTTAGATGATGGTAAGTGCTAATGAGGAAGATTAAAATAGGAAGGGATATGGGAGTGCATTTCTGTGGTGGCATTATCATTTTGTTTTACTTTTGTGTTTGTTTGCCATGCTGGAGATTCAGCCCAGGGCCTCGTGCATACTAGAGAAGTGCTTTAACAGTAATCTGCACCCCTAGCCCTGCCATTGCAATTTTAATTATGATGATGGTCAGAAAAGATTTCATTAAGGACAACATTTGATTAAAGATCTAAAGAAAAAGTGAGCCATGAGCATATTCAGAGGCAAGCATTTTATACAGAGGAAAAAGAAAGTGCAAAGGAAAGCCTGCTGTGGGAAGATGGTGAACAGTAAGTCCACCATAGATGGAATAGAGTAAGCAAGGAGACTACTAAGAGATAAAGTCAGGGAAGAGATGGAAACCAGGTAGTATAGGATCTGATAGGTAATCATAAGAACTCTAATTTTCCCTATGTGTGATTATAACGTGATCTAATTTACATTTTAACTAGACCCTTCAAGTGCTTTGAGAATAAAGGTGTTGTAGTTTGGGATTTTGCAAGAGGGGAACAATTTAATACTGGACACATAGTTTATAGAATTATTTTATAGCAGTCACCCAAAGAGTCTTATACAAAAAGAGTGCAGGAAATCTACCTACACACTCTAGACCAAAGAATCCAGCTGAGGGCCTGGATCCCACAGTAATGTCCTGCATGAGTCCAGCTAAAGACCTAGAGCCCTTAATAATGCCGCCCATGAGTCCAACCGGAGGCCAAGAGCCCAGGACAATGTCTCATTCAGGTCTGTTTCATGAATCTGTGCTGGGAAGGCCCAAAGGTCAGTGGTGGAAGCTAGAAAGTCTGTGTCAGTGGGATGAAGGATCTGTGCTAGCAGGCTGAGGGATCTGCACTGGAGTCAGGAAGCAATGCTCAAAGTGAGAACCAGAGCTCCCCCGAAAGGTACCACAGCCATCCTCAGCAACAGTGAGGACCAGAGCTCCTCCACTGGTGAGAATAGCTGAACTCCTATCAGGAAAGCCAGCACAAGCTTCTCCAGGAGACTGAGCATTGCACCATCTTCCCCTCCAGAGCCAGGAAGCAATGCTTAAGGCAAGGACCAGAGCTCCCCTAAAATGAACCATAGCCATTCCCAGCAATACCAAAGTCCCAAGTTCCTTCAACAATGGGTTCATCGCGAAAGCCAGCGTGACAAGGTCCTCAAAAAGAACCAACAACAGCCCCAAGAAAACCAACAGCTCCCAACACTTCCCAACAGCTCCCAAAAGCTTCCTAACAGCTTCTCTTCTTCACCAGTTCTGCCTCTTATCTGCTGGCAATAATCCTCAGGTGGGCCTCCCACACCCAGCACCCCTCTGGTTCAGTTTAGCTGGTATTACAAATCAACCACCAGTTGTCAATTCACCGCAAAAGGGAAGGAAGTAGGCAAGCAGTTGCTGAGGAATTACAATAGTCTAGGAGGAAATAGTGGTTCTTGGACTAGGTTCAAAGATATGAGTGATCAGAATCTGGGTATATTTTGAAGGTAAAAGTCACAAGGTGGCTGACAGACCATAGCAGATGAGGTTGGCATGGGATGTCACAGTGAAAGGTCAAAGATGACCACCAAGTGTTTCGGTGTCTGCCATTACTTCAGGGAGAAGAATGCGGGAGGAATGGCTTTGGGGAGGAAGATCAGAAGATTACATTTGTATATCTTAGATTTAAAATGTGTATTAGGCAATTTCCAACTTCCAGAATGGCCCCCAGTAATCTTTAGCTTGTGGATTTACACTTTTTTGGGATTCCGTCCCATATTAAATCAAAGCTCTTCTTTTTGACCTGCAAAACACTGCACAAGTGATAGTGTATGGATTTTAAGGCTAAGTATAAAAGTCTTTGCAGCTGCTGCCTTGGTCCTGAGAATTGTTTGCCTTGTGGGGAGCCAGAATTCATGTCCTGAGTAATTTAAGCAGCCCTGGGGAGAAGCGCTGTGGAGAGGAGCTGAGATTTCCCACTAACAGCACACCTTGCTAGCCACATGAGGAGAGCCCCGGTGGAGCCATTGATGGCTGCAGCCCTGACTAACACCAGGAGAGATGATGGGTCATATTCACCTGGCTAAGCCATCCTCAATTTCTGAACCTCTATGGATAGCTTCTAGAGCTATCTGAGATAATAAATCACTGTTCCTCTTTTAAGACACTAAATTTCATGTAATGCATTGTAGTTGTAATGTGTTACTCATTGCTAACTAATCAATATCCAAGTGTGGGATAGACCCTTGGAATTTCAAATTTCAGAAGGAAGATACAGAAGTTTTGTAGCCTTAAGAATATAGATGAAATGGTCAGTAAATATGTAAAAAAGGTTTAATATCTCTGACCATTACAGAAAGGCAAAAACAACACTAAGATTCCACCTTACCCTAGAAAGAATGGCTATCATCAAGAAATCAACCAATAATAAATGCTGGCGAGGCTGCAAGGGAAAAGGAATGCTTCTACATTGCTGATGGGAGTGTAAACTAGTACAACCACTATAGAAATTAGTATGAAGATTCATCAAAAAACCAAAAATAGAAATTCCATTTGAGCCAGCTACTCTCTTTCTAGGTATCAACCCATGATGTACCAACCCATGATGAATGTAAACACCATGTACTACAAGCATGTACTAGTAAAAATTTTTTAAAAACTAAAACAAAATCAGTCTGGTAATCAATCAGTACACCCTTCCACTGCACAGCAGCCACGCAGGCTGGGTTTCTGTGCTTGCAGTTTGGTACCTTTTTCTCTGTTCTCATTCCTCTGTCCCACATCTTATTATGACGATAGCTAATTTTATTTTTCAATTTTCTTTATTTTTCTTTTTTTTTGGTTTTTCTCCGGTACCGGGAACCGAACTCACGACCTTGCACTTGCCAGGCAGGCGCTTTTGCCGCTGAGCTAAATCCCCAGCCCAATTTTCTTTATTTTTCAAGTCTCAGATGAAGTGACACCATCTTAGAAGGAAAGGCTTTCCTTGATTTC